AGATACCATAATTTTGCTGTTAATGCATACTATATGGTCGGGCAAGCGCTTATTTTTTAAAAAATAAGCGCCTTTCCAGGCCGATTTAGCTCGATTGAAGCTGTGCACTGAAGCAGCGCTGCAACGCTAACAACCTTACATAAATCGACTATCACTATTCGTCGATTTCTCGACGATTGTCTTGCCACATAATATAGAAACTTCGACTAGTGATGATAAACTGTGGTTAATGATCATTGCAATTGTTGCCGATCATTGGATACATTTACGCAGTTGATCGGCGAGAGAAGAAAAAAATTTAGCGAAGTGGCAAAATAATTCTATTTAATCCGCAAAAAAATGCTGCAATTTAGTTGCTAAATAAAGAAATACAACCACATTTAACTTCGAGATAATATCGTTGCCATAGACATTTGCCAAACAGACGATATCATACAATCATAAAAACATGTATGTGCAAACGAATGGCAATCCTGTGATTGGCCGTAAGGCGAAATTATCAACACATTTTAGCCAAAGGAGATAATGCGATTAAACATACCTTGTACAAGATATTTCCAATGATAATAACCTGTTTTATCATCATTGCATATCAATATGAAAATTCGATTTTGATTGAAGTGATTCGAATTATAGAATGTTATAAAATCTAAACATTTACATTGCCATGCATGACAACTAACAAAATATGAAGTTTTTTTCCAATTCAAAATAATTTTTTCAAAAATTTAAATAATTTCATTCAATTCTATTACAGAAGATTCGCATGAAACTTTTTTTTTTCCATAAAAAATTCTGTAATTGACATATTTGTGTTTACACATTTCAAACAATGTCTGCATAGAGATGGTTTGTTGGTTTGAAAAAGTACAAGTTTTTGTTTCTGGAAAATAATAACTTCTTGACTGTGTATTTGTTAGTGTTTCGAAACAAACAGTGAGAGAGATAGAGAAAAAAAAATATCAAAAGCAAAAGTTTCACGACAAAAACTTGTATTCTATAATTTATTATAAATAATGTGAATGAAGGGCTTGAATAATAATAATAATAATAATAAATTTTGTTTCACTCATTAACGTTTTTTTATATTTATTTTGGAACTTCTGGTTGTTTGCTTGATTGTGCAGATTTTTATATGTTTTCTTTTTTTCCATACTCATGACCAAGATAGGTTTTTTGATCTTGGATTCTTGGAAGCTAATTAAAAAAAATGTAATATTTTTGTTTGTTTGTTTGTTTGTTTGTTATGATGGTTATTCCGATGAATATTAATAATATGGTGATGATAATAATAAATAGCATTGTGATTTATTATGTTGCCAACGTTTTTTTTTCTCACTCACTTTATCTATCTTCTGCGTCATTGTAACTGTTTTTTTTTCATCATTTGGTTTATTTATTTATGAAATTTTTCCTAATGAGAACAATTTTTTTTCAATGTTATTCATTTTTTCCCAATGATAATGACAACATTCTTAATAAACATTTCCTAAAAACAACTTTAAAATTAGACTTAAAAACAAATTAATTAAAAATTGTATTCGACTATTTTTTCCTTTTTTTTCTGGCTAGACAGACAAAGGATTAAAATTTTAAATTGAATTTTTTGTTCATTTGGATCGTTTATATGTTGAAAACACGTTTACTATTATTCGTTTTTTTCAAATGTTTAAGTTATTGTTTTTATTTCCTGTTTCAGAATTATTCTTGAACCAATCTATCCATGGTAATTTATATATCAACAACAAACAAACAAACAAACATTTAACATTATTCTTTCGATTGATCAAGTCATAAAAAAAATGAATAATAAACATTAACTCATTTCAAACGGTCTTCAAGAATGTCATTATGGGGAAAGAATGTAGGAAAAATTTTTGGTCTTCATCTATAAATTCTTGTTGTTGTTGTTTGTTTACTTGTTTTTATTTTTTGATTAGCATCCTGTCAAAATATAATGGTGTTTTTTATTATTGAATGTTTCATTCATATTCTATTGAAAACTTTATTTTCGTTTTCTTTTTTATTTTCATTACTAAATAAATAAAGTTATTATATTTGGTCAGTTAAAAATGAAACAAAACCCAAAAAAATCATCGAAGCGTTGAATACAAGTGTTTCTTGAAGAGATGTTATAACAGCAATAACAATAACATATTGGCTATAATAATTTTCTTTCATTGCTGTTATGTCTGAACATCCAAAAAAAAACAAAGCATTATCATAAAGATGGTGATGATGATGGTTGTGGTCATAAATAAAATTAAACAATTATATCGAAATTCAAAGGATTATTATCATTATTTTTATTATATGTTATAGCTATAATTTAGAACAAAATTGTTTTTTTTTTGTTGTTGTTTTCTCTCCTTATAATGGTTAATATCATAATGTTAAATAGTTAATTAGGTCATATTGTCGGTGTTGAATCATCAATGACAATGATGATTCAACAAAACAAAACAAAATATTTTCGGTTAGTTTTTGGATTGTAGATTATTGATGACTATAGCAACATCCACTACCAAATATCAGTTTATTTATTTGAGAAAAAAAACTGATTTTAAATTAGTTGGTTTGGGTTGTCAATTATAAATGACATTCTTACAATAATAAATAAAAAATAACATTTCCGTACACGTATGTGATTCGTACATTACAAAAATGAAAATATAATGTTTTCTTTTTTTTTGGTTATAAATTGAATGATGGACACCAATAAATGTTACGGGTCATCATTGAATCTGAAAAAAAAATCATCCAATGATGATGATATAATTTACATCAATCAATAATGAATGTGATAGTAAGAAAGAAAAAAAAACGTTAAAGCATCAAGATGAAATTCTCAAACAAAATTGAATATTAATATAAAATTCTCTATGTTTACATACATAAAGTAATTTGAATGTTTTTTTTCTACGAAACTAAGTGAATGAAGAAAAAAAAAATTAATATTCGATTCACATCGAGTTCCACATCCATGTCCATCATTTACACATTTGATTCTGAAACTCGTTTTTTTTGGTGGTTTCTCAACGAATGAAAATAAAAATAAAAAACTTTAAAAAAGAAAAAAAAAATTCTTGTCATTAAATAGATTATTTCAAAGTTTGTATGAAATTTTTTGTTTTGTCGCAAAAAAAAAATCTATGAAACAGTCTAGATATGAGTTATGATTTATACCTCCAAAAAAAAAGAAGATAGAAACCACAAGAAACAAAAAGTTTGATGTACTCGTCTTCATTGCAACTTCAAAAAGCAAAAAAAAAAAAAAATCCATTAATTTTGATTTTTTTCTTTTTTTCATTTTGGTACAATTTCAATTCGGTTCTCTCTATTTCACAACTTTGAAATCTACACAATGACATTTTTCATTATGAAAAGATTTTCAGTTTGTTTTTCGCTATCTAACGGTCATTAAAACAAAAATCAAAATTGTTGACAATATATAATACACTTGGCTGAATGCAATTATTTTCTTTTCATTTATTTTGTCAATTAATTATTTTTTTTTACCGCTTTATTGAAAAATGTTCCAAAAATAATAAATATTGCCTTGATTTAGTAGTTTAAAGTTTATTTGAGTAAATGGGTGTTTAAGTGGGCGCGTGTGAGTGTATCGATCGATCGATTGATTGATTGATTGATCGAAAAAAAAACTGTTAGCTACCGTCAAACAAACAAACAGAATACACCTAAATTCAATAGAGAATTTCATCATCAATCTGGCTTGTCGAATCGATACTAAAGAAAAAAAAAGATTAATAATACTAATGTTTGAAACAAAATTCTCATGATATTGTGGTTCAATAATGATATTATTCTATTTTTGAAAGATTGATTTTTCGATTTTTTTTACTTCTCATTGATTCTATGTTTGATATTCAATTTATGTTTGAAAAAAGAATATCGACAGATATCGATTGTTGTTCTAAAGGTTCATTTATAGATGATAAGAGGATGAGAATGTTGTTGTTATCGATTGCTGATTATTATCCATCCATCCATCCATCCACCAGTCATTCATTCGTTTATTCATTGTCTATTGGATTTGCTACTTGAATTGAAACTTTTTCTGATAATGAGAGAAAAATAAAGAAAAAGAGAGCTATGGATTGGATCCTATAGTGATTATGACGTTTTTAGTGTTTGAAAAATAAATTGCTTAGAAACACGCACCATCGACCAAACAATTTATGAATGTTTGTTTGTTTTGGTTTTTTTCTCTATATTTTTTCGTATATTGGTTGAATAATCAAGAATCGAATGGGCGTATATTTGATTGTTTATATTAGCATTCAATTTTTCTTTGGATATAATCTTCACTTTTTTTGTGATAGATTCAAAAGGATCAATTTGTTACATAAAAGTTTTTTCTTTATCCATAAATTGTCAAAGAATGAAACATAAAAAAAAAGTTTTTTTCCATTTTATAAGCCATTTATTATTTTTCAGTCATTATCATCAATATATATAGAATATAAAAAGATTATAAATTTACAACAAAATATATAAAATCAATGTAAATTAGTAAAATAATTTTTCTGAAAATAATCGTAAAAATGTATTGCCATTGATAATTGAGCTAGCCATAATCACTATTGGTATCGATATTTGTTTTGATAGAAAACGTAATGCCGATATTTCAGCATATGTAACACCACCGGTAAATAAAATCATTTGTATTCGTTTTGATTTTGTTTGCCAATCACGACCAACATGTTGATTAGGTAATAAATTTGGTTGTAATTTACAATGATTTTGTTTACACCAATCTTCTATTTGTGATAGATTATTTGTATCGAAAAAATTTTGCATCAATTTACAAACATATGGACAATATGAACCACCATATACATAGCCACAATCGGTTGGCATACGTGGATTGTATTGTTCAGTTTCGAGTAATGGTATAAGATTGGATTTTTTTACAATTTGACGAAATTTTTTAATCGTTTCCGATGTTGATGAACTGGCCGATGGTAATGATGTAGCAGCCAATTTTTGTGCCGTGCTCGATGCAATCAAATTGAATTGATTCGTACTTTCATAAAGTATTCCAATCTTTTTTAGATAATAAAATGTTGTTATATGATGGTGGCCATAGCTTTGTGTATATAATCGAATCAAATTATTCAATTCTTTGTTAGATATACCGGAATAACAAATCGAATACAAACATATAAGACGAAGCATTTGTGTTTCCGGTAATAGTTTAATAATACCATCTTCAATAAAATTCATTGCTGTTCGTGATTCAATTCCTTCAATCATGCTCTGTTCGATTCGTAATTGATCAGAGAATTTCGTCATTTTTTTGGTTTCCATAATTGCTTCACAAATTGTTAAATCTTTAAGCAAAATAATAAAAGTAATTCATCAACATCAATAAAATAATTTTCAACAAAACTTACGAGAAAATAGTAGCTTATGTTCTGATTGTAAATTACTAATTTCTTTTCTAAGAAAATTTTTCATCTCACTTAAATTGATTGTTTGACGTTCATAAGATTTTTGTCGTAATTTTTGTCCTTTTTCTTTCAATGTAGAACATACAGATGAGAAAAATTTATCCTGTACATCGGCAAAGATTTGATCATTTTTTAACAAATTGTGTTTGATTAAATTATCCTGTTGTTGATTACAACCATCTGGATTGAATGAAATTTTTCCACAATTAATTTCAAATGTTTCATCAATGATACCGGAATAATTTAGTTGAGATAACAATAATGCAACATAATCTTCTTCACGATCAAAAACGAATAAATCGATAAAACAATCTCTTGGTGAATCTTCGATTATACCAGAAAAGGCATTCAACTTTTGTAGACTATTACAAATGAATTCGGAGGCACGACCTTTTGTTATAACTAAATTCATTGGCCCGAATAGTCTTTGAAAATGGTGCATGGCCTGAACAACATTGTTCAAGAATTGGTAATCCCCCAACTAAAAAAAAACAAGTAATTTTTTCAAATAAGAAGAAAAATTCAAAAATGAAATCAAAATACCAATAGATAATCATGATAAAGATTTTTTTGTTCCAATGAATATAGATCATCATCGAATGGTATGAATCCAAGAGGATATTCCCAAATATTAAAACAACTATAAAGACCTTCTTTTTCCAAATATTTTTCACAATCAAAAGTTCTTTTTGGCACAAAAATGATCCAATATTGTATGTCTTGAATTTCTTTGCTCAGAAAAATGTTAAACCAATTACAAACTTGTTTAACATCATTAAGGTTCGATTGTATGATAAAACATAATCTTAATATTAAAAATGAAAAGAATCAACATGAATTAATCAATCGTAATTGTGATAAAAAATACTTTTTATTTGTTGCCGTCGGTATGTTATCGATTTTGTATATTTTTTCAACGCCAACTTCCTTTAAATCAATCGTTTACAAAAAAACAAAACAGATTAATTGTTTGTCGAATTGATCAACAATGTTCAATATAACTGACCTTCATCAATGAATAGCTACAAATAAGATCAATAAGGGATACGAGATTGCTTCCCAATACAATGTCTTTCGAGCCATCAATCTATACCGAAAGTGAATAATTAAATCAAATCGAATGAATGAATTTTGATTGATAAACAACACATGATGATATTTGGTCGGTACCTTTTTGAGCAACGATAACAACATGTTTAATGAGAAATTTTTGATTGTACTCGAAATAGAATGACTCTTGTTATCACGATCCATAATCGATTGACAAGTACGACGATGATTGAGATATTGACAAGTTTTTTTCTTGATGAAATAAAGAAGAAAAAATGAATTCGATTTATATACAAAATTTAGGCCATTTAGCCGAAAATATATGAACACACAAATGAAAACCTGATCATTTGGGTTAAAATAGCATTCGAGTTTTTTTTTTGGACAACAACTTGTTGAATTCATCGAATTTAATCCGTTAATTACCATCAAATGACACTTGTTATTGCAGTGAGGATTGAAAATATTTCCTTATAGTTGTCATCAAAAGAAGTGGAACCTTGAAAACATAAACATAAATAATCATTCGAAAATGGTGAGTTTTTTTGTTTGAAAATAATTTCATTTTTAAATCTGTAACATTCTAATAATTATCTTAAAAATGATTTGTTCAGTTAAAATCTCGAAGCCAAGAAGAATTAACTTCGAGTAAATCCTCCAATACTTTTGAATTTACCACTAATTTGAGCTCTATAAGTGTCCGAAATGGTCGTAATGGTGATGATGATGATTATCCACAGCAGCCATCATCGACGACAACAATAAGCGCAAGTCCTCCTCAAAGTCCAAAACCACATCCAAATTATCAACAACATGAAATATTGCAATTAAATGAGGATTCTCATACATGGAAATTGAAAGCATCAAAACGACAACAAAACATACATCAAAGTAATAAGAGTTTACAATTTTGTTTCGGTAAATTGCAATCCTATCTAAAAACCGAAAATGCTTTTGAATTTCGTTTCAAAATTATTGTTGCATTTTTATTTTTGATCATATGTTGTGTGGTGATGATAACACGTTATTTTCATTATAATCTTCAGATTAGTCGTGCCTTACATGATCAAATATTGATATTTAAATCAAGCAAAACAATAACATTTCTAAATGATCGTGGCGAGAATCTGGTCAATCTTCATTTTGGCCTTCATATACCGAACGATATCAATCCAATTAATTGTCGCTCGATTAGTCAAGAGGATAAAATATGTTTTGATTGGAAATATCGAGCTCATTTATCAGTGAAAGTTTCAAGGAAAAAATTTACCAACAGTTTCGGACACAATGAAACTATTACCTGTTATGATCATCTATGGCGTGCCTATCAGAAATATTCTGCAATCAAAGACTGTTTCGATATGAACAATGGACATTGGTTTGGTATGGGTGATATTTATGATCTTCAGATACCATTGAATAAAATGTCGGTTGAAGAACAACCATTTATAACTAGTCATAATCATACGACAATATTGTCCGGTTCGATCATAGATCGAACATGGTTTTCAAGCCGAGGTGTAATGATAACCGTACCATTAGACGTACCATTATTTGTTTCGGTCAATTCATCTGTAGATCCAAATCGTTTATGTTTAATATCGAAGAAAAGTTCTCCGTATTACATGAACAATCAGAATAGCTATTTTGCCCATCTTCATTATTCAATTTGCTTGGCTAAAAGTGTTACGACATTGCAGAATTATTTATTCGAATATAATACTCATCAACAACAAACGACAACAGAAGACGAAAAAATGATACAATCTGTCACAACAATCAACCAGGAACAGGAAGTTGAAAATTTTTTTGTTGATCGTATAATTTGGTCAACAAATGTGAATGTATTGCCTAATTTTACACAACAAAATGTACAATCGTATGTTGATCAGATTACTAACTATGGTTTTGGTGGTATCATATTGTTGGATTCACGATGGGAAAATTCAATCGGTGAATTACGAATGAACGAAAATGTATTCAGCACACCGAAAGCATTGATCAATATTCTTCATAACAAAGGATTTAAAATCATGTTGACCATATCACCAAATGTTGATTTGAGATCCGAACTGGTTGAAAATGCCGATAAATATATAATGTTAGATTCATATCTCCAAACACCATTGATGACAAGATGTTCAACTAATCTACAGAAATTTTGCGCTTTAATCAACTTTACTGATGTCGAGAATCGTGAACAATTTCGTAACAAATTGAATCAACAATTGCTTAATCATTCGATTGGTCTATCGGTTGATGGCCTTTACTTTCAAAGCATTCAATCATCATTGTTACCTCGATATATGAATTATGATCAAAATATCAATCCTGATCAATTCGTTGAACATTTAAACAAAGTGATTAAATCATTGCACACATCGGTTGGAATTTCAACATCAGTTGATTCAAAAAATTTTACCGGTTACGCTCAACTTTATCCACGTGATTCTTCATGGAAAGGTTTACAAAGCATTATTCCTTCAGTTTTATCATTAGGATTAACTGGTTATCCGTTGGTCAATACTGGTGTTGTTGGCGGAAAAGATCTATTCACCAAGATTAAAAATGATACTGGTTATATTGACAAAGAACTATATCTTCGTTGGTTACAATTGGTTATATTTACACCAGTCGTTGAGTTTGCTGAACCACCCGGTGGAAATGATTTAGATGTGATTAAAATAGCAAAACGTTTGCTTAAATTGCGAAGCGAACATTTTATACCAAAAATGAAATCTGCATTGATCGAATATCAACGTAAAGGTTCACCCATTGTTCGACCAATGTGGTGGAGTGAAAAAACCGAAAATGAAGCATTAACTATCAATGATCAATTTATGATCGGTAATGATATCGTTGTTGCACCAATCATTGAAGAAGGTAAAACCGAGCGAGACATTTATCTACCACATGGTTGGTGGAAAGATGAAATACTTGCACAGGTAATACGTGGCGGAAAATGGATGCGTAAATATCAGGTACCATTGGACAAGGTGGCATTTTTTATTCGCAATGAACCCAGTCAAACATCACCAATTCAAAAATGAAAAGAAAAAAACCAAATATAATCAAAGACCAAATTATCTCCACATGATTTTTATATTCGACTGAGATATGTTTTACATAAAAATTGCAATAATCATTTTTTATAAAAATTGTTTATTTATCATTTTTTAAAGAGCTTTTATTATTTATAAATAAAATCTAAATTTGAAAAAATTTATTGAAAATATTCGTGATCGGAAATTTGTTTCAATATTATATCGGATAAATCAGAAAGAAATTTTTCCATTGAAACATACTGTTTACTATCAATGAATTTTGTTTGCATATAATAATCATAATTCATAGCATAAGCTAAAAATGGTAATTTTCGTAATGAACGTCCGGATAGATTTGATGAACAAATGCGAGAAATTTCTTTTAATTTTTTATTTTGATCAAAATCATCGGTAGAATTTGTAGTGTTTGTAGAATTCGAATGATGCCATGGTAGAAATTCTATATGATGAGGATCGAAACGTATCACCTGAGAATCAATCAATTCACGCATACTGGAACGTAATATTTCATATACCATATTTGTTGATGGTAGACCAATATATTGTATTATATCAGCTCGATCAACAAATGCATTATCCATTGATTTTGAAACGTTCGATGTGGCCAAAATGATAATATTCGGATATTGTTTAATTGAATCTAATTGTGTAAGTATGGCGTTCACAACACGAATAGCATCAGTAGGATCAGCACTATTGATTCGTTGACGATCATAAGCCAAACTTTCAACTTCATCTATCAGAACGAAAATCATATTTGTAGGATCTTCAGCAAATTCTCGAATACTGTCGAATAGTTTTAAAACTAATTTTCCACTTTCAGAAAACCATTTGGAAAACAATGAATGTGAATTGATTTCGATCAATTGGAAATCCTCATAATCGTCGGCCATCATTGTCGAAATTTTCTGACACAATGCTTTACATAATGTTGTTTTGCCAGTTCCAGGTGGTCCATGTAAAAGTAATACTTTATTTATATTTATAAATGATTTATCAATTCGTGATTTACATAATCGTATTGCTGCATGGAGATAATTGAGTAATTTTATTTTCAAATTTGATTCAAACATCAGGCTATCCCATAAACCAACAAAATGTTGTGATGGTAGAAATGTATGAAATGAACAAGGTAAATTTTCTTCCAGACAATTTTGCATAGTATCATCATAAAGTTTACTAATATAGATGCCGATTTGTTCATTGAAATTATCAAATTTTTTGATCAAATCTTCTACATTGTTATTGAGATTGGCATCATTGAAATTGGCAATATTGATGGTCATATTCATTTGTATTGAATCATCAATTGGACATGATGATTTATAATTACCATTTTCGATAGTTTTTTTCAACCATTCAATTACGTTTGGATTTACTTTTAAATTTTCTTCAAGTTTATTTCTGAGATTCTTTGATTCTTTTTTCGTAAAAGTAGAATTAAGTAAAATTTCCAAATGAAATGGTTTATAAGTCATTGTTATTGGCAGAAATTATGATGAATTCAAAATTGAATTATTTATGTTCAACGGTTTTTTTTTCAACAACACGTGACTGTGTGTTTCAAACCATGTTGGTAAAAATAGTGTAATTTGATCGATATATCGAATGGTCAAGAATTTTTGATTCAAATTAATATTCTATTTTAATTAATTAATAAGTTAACAACCGCGTTGCATAAAAACAAAAACTTCAATTTTTATTTATTACAAACAAACAAAAAAAATCGCATTATTTACAATTAGATTAAAAAAAAATTATTTGCACATTTTTTTCCAGAAATACTAGTCACAGTTGTCCATAATGAATTAATAATGATGATGATGATGATGGTGATGATTTTCTAGATTGTATAGAATATACAAAGGGACTAGTAAACAAATGATAATAATGATGATAATTAAATATCTCCAATGAATACCAAAATCTGATCCATCAGAGTAGGTAGATGCTTTTGATTCGTTCGATACTGATGCTGTCGTACCTGCAGCTACATCATCAACATTATCAGTAGCAATAATATTCTCTTCAATTTTACTTTGATTAAATTTTCGTATCTCTTCTAGATCTGTGCTCAAGTTATTTAGGAATTGTTTATAATTTTCATTATTATTATCACGGGTAAGATAATTGGAAATGCCAATATTGATCACTTGAGTTTTTGTTGATAACGTTGTCGATGGTTCTTGTTTAACATCGATTAAATCGTCGACAAAATGTGTTCGTTGATCATCATATTGTTGATCATTTATTGGAACATTTGTATCGATTAGAAAGCTATGTTTGATGACAGGTATTCGTATTACTTTTAAAATATGGAAATCTTGATCCGACATAATATGATTGGCAAGACGTAATTGTGAAATTGAACAATTAAAACGTAAAGCGATTCCTTGTAACGTTTCATTTGGCTGTATGGTATGTTCGATTATATCATAACGATTTGGATCCAAATATGGTGGTGAATTTGAACCATTTCTGGAATGTCGTGATCGTGATTCTTTTGTGCTTCTATTCTTAAATTCGAATGATTCATAATTTGTTGCATTTGTTTTATCATTATCATCTTCATTAATAAGTCTATGATACATTGGATGATATATTATCGTAGATATGAACATTAAATTCTAATAATAATAAAAAATTCAGCAAAAAAAATTAAGTGAATATTGCATCTTATGGCAAAATAAATGATTTTGAATTAGGTGCGAGCATAAATGAGTGTTTTGTTTATAATAATCGACCGTTTATAGCTGCTTTTCGGATGTGAGGCAATCATAAATAAATAATTATTTGTTTCCAAAAAAAAAGACAAAACAAAAAATCGAAACAAAAGTTTAGCACACAAGTTGTTTTCGATTACAATTGCGATGTGGCAAAGTTTTTTTTTTTTTGTAAATATTCATGATAAAAAAGAATTTTTCTGGGAAAGTTTTCCAACTTGAAATTTATTTTTTCGCTGAATATTTTTCCAATTTTATTTCATAATCGCGATGTTTAGATTTTAAAAAATATTCTAATTTCCAATGAAATAAATGATAATTTCTGCATTAAATAATTATTAGTAATTATGGAATATCATTCTTTTCATTTAAAATGTCAAAAAAAAATATATAAGTTTATGTGACGGCAACAAGTTCTACATCAAAATTTAATGTAGCATTTGCCGGTATTGGTCCCATTTGTCGTTTACCATATCCCATATTTGGTGGTATCATTATTGAACGTTTTCCACCAACTTTCATACCTTCAACACCAATTTCTAAACCTTTTACCACTTCACCTTGACCTAAACGAAATGAAAATGGTTTTCCACCACCCGAACGATCAAATTCTTGATTGTTTTCGGGTAATTTTCCAACATATTTTATATGTACCTGAATAATTGGAAATAAAATTTTTGATTACTATTTTTATTTTTCATAATAATAAATCTACACACAAATCACATACATATTTTCCTTTTTTAACAACAGGACCATGACCTTCATGTAAATCGGTTATTTTTACTCCACCCGATAATGGTTTCCAATCGGTCTATCAAAATTAAACCGGAACAAGAGAAAAATAAAATTAATATATCAAATCAATCAAATCAGAAATTGGATAATTTATTGTCAGTTTAAGGAAATAGTTTCAGTTCATTTAAAGGAGGCGAAAAAAAAAATGATAAATTCAGAGGAATTTCAAATTAATGTTAAAGATCATGTTGATTGATTTTGAATGAGAAAAAAAAATACTATCCAAACAAACACATAAAAATGCTCAAACTGTGAACAAAATCTAATTCATAGAGGCACGGCCTTTGTTCTTGTTTATCTGATTAAAGTTGCCGAATCTGTTGCTTGCCTTTTGACCACCCGGTGTCCATGGTCCTTTCTTTTGATTCTGGAATTTGTTGCCGCCACCGCCTTGTTTTTGGTTGTGAAAATTCTGAAATTTTTGTCCAGAATTTTGTTGTTGACCACCTTTTTGTTGCTGTTGTTGGCCACCTTGTTTCTGATAATTGGGTGTACCGAACTTTGGTTTTTGATTGTTCTGTTGTTGTTGATTCGATTTTTGTTGCTGTTGTTTCTGTTGATTTGGACCTTTAGCGTTCATTTGCGACATTTTCATTTGACCATTGGCTTTGGCAGGTTCAATTTTATTTCCGGCAGATTTTACTGTAAAAAATTTAGGAATTAGAAAGAAAAATGAAAACATGAAGAACGGATCTAACCTGGAGATTTAGCAACATCTTCATCTTCTTCGTCATCGTCTTCATCGTCTTCCTCATCATCGTCCTCTTCATCGTCATCGTCATCATCGTCAAACATATCAGCATCAATTTTTCCTAAAGCATCATCATCATCATCATCTTCTTCGTCAGCTTCGGCTTCATCAATACCATTAGTATTAGTCTTGGTTTTTTTCACTGCAGAATTATTTCCAAGCAATTTTCGTTTACCCATTTCGACTACTTCTTCTTCTTCATCTTCATCTTCTTCGTCATCAAATTCATCATCGTCATCAAAATCCATAATATAACCAGTCAAATGGACAGTTCCTTCACCATTCAAAAAGAATGTCACTTCTTCTCCTTCAGTGAAAATTAAATCCAATTCGGTTTGAATTATTTTCTGTGAATCTAAAGTACAAAGCAAATATTTCGTTTTATTCTGTTCCATCATAACTTGAACACGTTGTTCGGTTTCTGGTTTTTTCAAATCAATCTCTAATGCAGCTTTAGAGATATGATAACTCATTTCAACCGTTTGTGAATAACGGCGACCAGGAAGAATAGTAACACCTTTTATCAAATGAAAATGAATAAAAATTATTAAAATTAATTATAATCATTATCATTATTAAATGAAATAACAAACCCCAAAACATTTTTGATGTTTAAATTAATGGTTTAACAAAAAAAAAAGTAAAGAATAAAATTAAAAAGATGAAAATCGAAAACTAAAAAACGTTAAGTTTGAAATTTTTTCACTGTATTGTGATCACTAAAAGAAACAAGCATGGAATAAATGCCGATCGAAAATGATATCGAAATGACAACGTGCTTTGAGTTTCGAGCACTTTATACCGTTCAAGACAGTCAATGCAAAAAGCAATGGCGCGGCATGTGCGCATTGAAACTTGTCAGTTTTTTTTTCAAGTTTTTGTTGCCGACTATTTTGCCATCTATTGACAACTGTGGAAATTTGTATTTCAAAAAATTTCATTTTTTTAATCATTTTTTCTTCGAGAGGGAAAGTTGAATCGCAAAATATTTTGTTAGATAATTTCAATATTATTATTATCATTAGTTTCATTATTCTTATCATTTTTCGTTGTTGAAACTGAACTATTTCGTTTAGCCAATGCATTTTGATGTATAATATGTAATACACTTCGTGAAAAAGCAATGATTGAGAATCCAAACCAAAGACTTATAGTTGATGCATAAAAACAGATAAATTCGACTAATTCCATTCGTGGTTGATGTTTATAATGTGTATTTGCAGTTGATGAAAAATAAACATCAAATTCATAACGATTTTGCATTGGTTTTCGTTCAAAATCATCCATCATTGACATTGTATAGAATTCACTATGACATTCTTGTCGTTTGCTACACGTTGTTAAACATTCATTTGACATAATTTTATCTAAAGTTTTATTCTCTTTGAATTTTGATGGAGCGAAATACATATTAAGATCAAAGCTATTATCTGTTGGAACATCACCATGTTGGCCATTAAAATTACGAATGAAAAAATTTGACTAAAAAATAAATTAAAAATAATATGAATCATTTTGAATTGAAATATTATTTTTCAAACTTACTTTACAACGATTCATACAATGCATTAATGATTTGTAGCCAATTTCTTCATATCGACGACAATCTGTTTTAAATGGTGGTTCCAATAAATCGTTTATTGTTTTAAAATAATTAAACAATTGAAATGATGATCGTGTATTATTGACTCGGAAAACATTTGTTTGTCCACCAATAAAACCAAGAAATGGTATTGAACGTGAATGCATCAAAATCATTGGTGATTCAATGTATTTGTTAAATAAACTGATTTGATATAATGGAAATCCATTATCGCGAATTGTCATATCATGATCAATATAAAAATAATCATCAGATTGATTGTTTAATTGTAATCCAATGGAAAAACATTTTTTCACATCAGTCAATGATTCATGAATCGGTGAAATGAATGTACAATTAATATAATCATCAGTTTCATTATTTTCGATTGCGATCGGTTTGATTATTCGACATTTGTTGAATACTTTTTCACTTGAATAAGTTGCATTATTCAATAATTCATAAAGTGTAAGATTTTGGAATAGTTTTTTATAAGCCGAATATTTATTTACTTTATTTTCAGCAAAATGTTTTAATTGATTTGAATAATTTTCTTCAATATATTCGTCATTAGCCACTTTGAATAAATCCATACAAATAGTTATAGCAGGAATTTCTACTTTAGTTTCACGTTCAAACATAACATTAACATTTGTATCGTAGGCAAAATATATTCGGCTAACATCGATTAATTGCCAGGCACATCCTAAAACGGCAATAAATGATCCAATTGCATATATAATATCTAATGAATTTAAACGTTTTAGATAGATTAATTGTTGATGACCACAACACGAAAAAATATGGGGAAAAAATTTAAATTTCTTTGATTGATCATTTTTATCATGAATATTGATATCATCAGTTGATATTGCAATCATTGATGATGGAGATTCTGGATTGTCTGTAGATGTTAATGATGATGCTGTTGTAGATTGTGGTGAAGCCATATTTTTTTCAACAAATCGTCAATAAATTCAGTCGAACGATGTGAATGATGTATAGAATGAAGAATGATTAAAACGATGAAAGGCAGTAACTTTTTTTTGATTAAAAATTTTAACTTTTTTTTAATTAGGCTGCTTTCTTTTAATTGGAAAGGCGAAATGATGCGATAATAATCATCACGGGACAATAAAAAAATTTATATTACTTTTCTATATATTCTGTGTCTAAGATTGATTGATTGATGACATATAGTCTCCATATTGATATTTGTTTTTTTTTCATTCGGTAAATCAAAGTTTTCAAGTACATTTAATCAATTGTCAAATTATTTTCAATGAATTCATCATCATTATACGGTGTGGATAATGAACAAGGAGTGAATTCTTTATGGATTTGTATTGCATCTGAAAAAAAGCGAATAGTAATTATTTTCAAGGTTTTGTTTGCATTCAAGAAACACAACAACAACAAAAAGATATCAGTTAATATCATTCAGTTTTTTTTTGCTTGTTTTGATTGATTAAAATCAACTCTTTTTTTTAAACAATTCAATTATATGTGCTCAAAAGTTTTTCTTTAAAATTATTTAAAAACAAGAAAATTTTGGAAATTAATTATTTTTAATCAATTTTTTTTAAAACCCTGATTCTAAAGTAAATTGTTTGAAAAAAAATGTGAATAATGTTTCTCATTATTTGCCATCAATTTTTGGCACGAATCAAACAATTCTGATATATCAAATGTATGATGGAACGTGCGAAAGCAATAATAGAGAATCCAAACCAAAGACTGATTGTTGATGCATAAAAACAAATAAATTCAATCCATTCCATACGTGGTTTATGTATATAATATTTATTCAAATCAATCGGTATCATCATTTTCAATTGAAATCGATCATTTAAATGAATATTTTCATTATTACGTTCAATTTCTTCAACAATTGTAATTTTAAATGATTCATTATTACAATCTTGTCGTTTACTACAGTATTTTGAACATTCATTCGATACAATTCTGTCCAATGTTTTATTTTTTCGTAATTCAATCGGTGCAAAATAAATATTTAAATCATCATCATTATCTGCTGGAATATTTGCATGCCATCCATTGAAATGATCGATAAAATATTTACCCTGTTCATTTGTGATAAAATAATTGCAATGATTAAAAAGATTTTTGACAAAAATTACTTTTTTTAAAAATTTACCTTACAATGATTCATACAATGCATCAATGATTTATAACCAATTTCTTGATAATGACGACAATTTGTTCGATACGGTGGTTCAAGTAATTGATTTTTTGTTTTAACAAAATTAAATGATATACTTTCAAATTTAGTATTATTTGCACGAAAAAAATTAATATAACCACCAATAGGTGCAAGATATGGTATTTTTCTTGATTCAACATAAATTTTTGCATTATCAAGATATTCATTTGAAAGTTGAATAATCATTAATGAAAATTTATTATCATGAACATTTGTATTATGATCAATGATAAAACGATCATTCGATTCATTATTCAATTGTAATCCAATTGAAAAACATTTCTTATTAATTGTTAGAAATTCTCGTATAGGAACAATATCGGTACAAGAAATATAATCTTCATTTGTTGTTCGTTCGAATGCAATTGGTTTGACAATTTTACATTGATAAAATAATTGTTCGGTTGATATTGTTGCAAAATTTAATTGTTCATTTAATGTTAGATTTTTAAACAATTTTCCATATGCTAAATATTTGGCTTGAGGATATTCATTCGATTGTTGCAATTCGGATGAATATTTTTTCAATAAATAATTTTCATTTGCCAATTTTGTTATATTCGTACAAATAGTTATAGCTGGAAGATCAATTTTAGTTTCACGTTCGAAAATAACATTCATATTGGTGTTATAGGCAAAATATATTCGACTTACAGCAATCAGATGACAAAAACAACCAAACAATGCTATTAAAGATCCAAATGTATATAAAATATCCATAGCATTTAAATGGCCTGTTTTCGCAAGATGTTGTAGACCAAAACCGGTAAGAATATAATGAATAACATTGAAATCATCTTTTTTATTATCATCATTATCTTCAGAAATGGCAATTGTTGATATTGGTAATTTGGATCGTTGTTTGATTTTATTTGTCAACGATTCTTGTCGAATCTCCATTTTCTCCATATTAAGAATCGATTATGATTATCATTGCGTTAAAATTGATGAAAGGAATTCAATGACTTCTGTAAAACATAAACAATTTAGACGAAAAGATTATTTGTTTACCATAATCATATTATGAATGTTTATGTATGAAATGAAAATCGATTTAAAAAAAAAATTCTCAGACCGAAACATGTTTATCCTATTTTATTTATGTTTAAACTTGTTTGCTTATACTGTTTGTTGGCTATATGTTTGTTGATTATTCATCCTTTCAATATTATTTTCTCATTTTGTGTTATAATGGAAAATGATTACCATGATGAGTATCCAGTTATTTCAAGGATCATATCGTTTTTTTTTATTGTTGTTACTATAGTTTGACATATGATTAACAACAACAACAACAAAAAACCGTTACGTCATAGATCTCGTTATAATTGTAAAAAAATATTCATAGTGATTAGCAGGAAATTTTAGAAAATTTTTCACTTTTTTTCAAGGAAAAAATAATTGAATTTCACTTTTATGAATTAATTAATGCATGAAAAATTGTTTTATTGGTTATTAACATAAAGATAAAATGAATATTTGTATTCAAGAAAAAATTCTTTCTTTTTTTTCTTTACAAAAAAGAAAAAAAAGTGGATTGTAAATGAAATGTTAAGTAAAAAAAAGCTGAAAACTGTTTCCACTGAGATACAATGATAATAATAATAATAATGATAATGATGATGGGAAGAAAAAAAAATTAGTGATATATCCGTTCAAGATGATATGCTGATTGATGTTCGTGGTGTTTGATTAAAACCACCATTAGTTTGACCATCTTTAATATCGGCCTTTAATGAATTATTATTCTCGGCATTCTTTTTGGCTGCAAGTGAATTTTGATGAATAAGACATACTAAAGCTCTTGAAAAGGCAATGATTGAAAAACCAAACCAAAGACTAATAACACTGGCATAATAACAAATAAATTCAATCCATTCTAAACGTGGTGAATGTTTATAATGTGTATTCAAACCACTGGGTAAATAGATATTAATACGATAAAGATTTTGCCATTCTGGACGTCCATGACCACGTTCAAATTCAGCAATAGGTTGTACTGTAAAGAATTCACTTTTACAATCTTGTCGTTTACTACAGAATTCTGAACATTCTTCCGACATGATTTTATCCAAACTTTTATTCTGTTTATGTACTTCAGGTGCATAATAAATGTTAAGATTATAATTATTATCGGCCGGTACATCTCCATGCCATCCGTTAAATTTTCGTATAAAATAATTTGCCTAATGATCAAATTCATTATTAACAGAAAAAAAATCATAAATACAAAATACGAAATACCTTGCAATGATTCATACAATGCATAAGCGATTTATAGCCAATTTCTTCATATTTACGACATCTTGTTTTGAATGGTGGTTCCAATAATTCGGTTATTGTTTTCACATAACTGAATGTATGCGTAACAAATTTTGTATTGTTTACATGAAAACCATTCGTTTGTCCACCAATAAACGATAAAAATGGTGTTGTACGTGAATTAATAAAAATAACTGGTGCTTCAAGATATTTATTTAGTAAACGAATTTCAAATAATGGAAAACCATTATCACGAACAGTTGCATCATGATCAATTATATAACGATCATTTGGTTCATCATTCAGTTGTAAACCAATGGAAAAACATTTTTTTGAATAAGTTAAAAATTCATGTATCGGTGCAACATGATTGCATGGCATGAATCCATCTTTATTTTCAGTACTATTTTCAAATGCAATCGGTGTCATAATGCGACATTCATGGAATAGCTGTTTATGCGATATAGTTGCTTTATTCAATTGTTCATCTAGCGTTAAATTTCGTAACAATTTTTTATATGCACGATATTTTCGTTCTGGATATTCGGACATTGATTCTAATCGTGAACGATAATGTTCCAGTAGATAATCTTCATTTGCTATCATTCCAAGATTAGCACATACAGTTATACCTGGAATTTCAACTTTAACTTCACGTTCAAACATAACATTAACATTTGTATCGTATGCAAAATATATTCGACTAACATCGATCAATTGCCAAACACAACCAAGAAAAGCAATCAATGAACCGACCGCATAAAGTATATCGAGAGAATCCAAATGTTTCATTGTAGACAAATGTTGTAAACCACAGCTAGATAAAAGGTATTGAACAAGACTGAAAGATTCTTTTTGATCATCTTCATGATCATAATAATCGACGACGTTTATAGCCGATGATGATGATCGTTTTTGCGACTGCGGCTTTTCACTATTCATTATCAATCCTATTGGCAACGTTGTTGTTGATTCTGTTGTCGTTGTTGGCATTGTGGATTGTTGTAATTTCACCATAACTTGTTATTGCCTGTTAATAGTTAATGGTAATTTAATTCAATATTACAGCATAAGTAATTATAAAAAATGATGATCATGATGATAAATAGAAGGTATGAATGTGAATGGATAATAATTATTTTTGTTTGTTATTGTATGTGGAAGCGATTATTCATTTAAAATCCATTGTTAAATTTCATATTAGTTAATGGAGTTAGATATAGAGAAAGAGAAAGAACACTGAGAAGAAACAAAAAAGAGATTTTATTATTTGAAATATTGTTACTAAATTTCAATTAAAGAATCAATTTCATGATGATAATAAAAATTTCCTAATAATAAAAAAAATGTGAATGAATTTGATTGACAAAAAAATATTGTGTGACATGCAAACATTCAATACCGGATGTATAGAAGATTATCTATTAATGGACAAACAAAACAGAAAAAAAATCAACCCACATCATTCTATTTAGTATTTCCTTTATTCAACCATATTTTGTTTAATGTGAAAAAAAACTGAAGAAGAAGACAAACTATAGTAATAATTGTTTTGTTTGTTTGATGTAATAAATTCTAAATGCTAAAACAAACAATTATTTGACAATAATAAAAAAGGAGACAAAATTGGTATTTTATCTATTGATCATATAATGTGTGAATGACAACAATAAGAGTGAAAACAAAAAATTTAAAAACAAAGATCATTAAAATTCATAATTCAGGATTCTATTCGGAAATATTGTTTTTTTTTATAATGGAGAGTCATGGGAAAATTATTAGAATTTTATTTGAATAAAAATTTTCAATTACCTGAGATCGATTGATAACACAGATGTGAGGGTGGGAGATTGTAGAAGATGAAAAAAAATATTTGCAAATTCAAAAGATGATACGTGTTTTATGATAATTTTGTTCAAAAATTATCGATTGATTTATGGTAAAAGAGATAGGTTTTTTTTCACTTTAACAAGCAAATCGAATTTATTCCATTCAAAACATTCAAATCGAATGCGTGAGTGTAAATGAAAGTGTAATCGTTTCGGTGTGTGTTTGTGTCGATGTCGTATCATCAAAATGTAGATGGTATGTGTTGATCTGTATTTATCTGGATGGAGTTGTTTTTGTCGTTTTCAAATATTTGAATCGAAATGAATTAAAATTTCTCATTTAAGAAAAGAGATATTCATCATAAAATAAAAATGCAATTTATGGATTCTGGTTTTTTTTCTGCAATTTAAAAAAAACTTGTTGCTACTATCTTGAAGATGATTGACAACATTGCTTGATTATTGAGAAAATTTTAAAGTTTTTTTTTATTTGTTTGTTTGATAATTTTAAACAAATCATACACCGGTGTTGAAAATTTGATTTTATAAAAATTTAATTTGATGACATGAAAAGAAAAAGGTATATTCTCAGGTTTTTTCTTTCTTTCTCTTTATTTTCCATCTTTGTCAATTCTTTTAAATCCATCAAAATACTGAATATTAACAGTGGCTACTATACACAACCGCAATATCATTAAGAATTAATACGAATTGAGATGATAATGGAAAAATGTTTTTTTTTTCTATAAAACTATTTTCGGCTATTTTAAAACAAAAATGTTCAATTCTACCATTTTCATAAAATAATTAAATTCGTAATGATGTTTAATGATTTCTGATTGAATCGATTTATTGCATTTTTTTCCATTATCATTATCAGTGGAGCCAATCAAAAACGACACTATTAGATTTTATTACGATGATTTTCTCTTTCATTATGTAGCTGTTGTTGTTGTTGTAAACAAATTTCGATAAAAACAAAATAACCTATAAGTAATTAAAGTATTATCTTTTATGTGAGATATATCAGAAAAAAACAAGGCATCCAACTCTTTTGGTCAGCTGAATTGCTGATAATTGGGATTTTTTTGTTTGTTTGTTTGTTACGACGTCATATTTCAAAGTATTTTCATTTATACGTACATCTCAATCTTGAATTTCAACAATTTTCGAAATTCTCATAATTATTCCAATGGGATTTTTTGCTTGTATATGTTGTACGATCGAATTTAAATTCAACTTATTATTTTCAAGGATTTCAACCTGTTTTCAATCAAACAAGTTATTTGTTGTGTATTGTGTGTGTGTGTGCGCGCGTATTTTTGAACACAATCGCTGATTTAAGTATTTATTTATTTGTTTTTTATATAGCATCAATGATAACTGAAAATGATAAGATTCAGTATCTAATAAAATCCATCCGATATATATAGTTTCTATTTTTGAATCATAAAATTTTTTTTTCAAAAAAATTCGGCGGCATAATATTCGAAACTATAAATACCTATTTCTACCCAACGAGTTTGAACATGTCAAAATACAACGAGTTGTTTTGCCGAATACAGAATCATCAGATTTTATTTATAAATATTTGTTTTCAATTTGTTTTGTTGATGAATTTTCAATCATTTGATAAAAAGTTTAATCTGCCACCTATTTATTGTAATGATAATTATTTAAAAATCAATTTTTCATTGATTAATACAAAACAATGGCTGAAGAATGTGAAGAAAATTTTGAAATCGATGCAAAACAAAATCGTTATCCATATTGTATTGTTTGGACACCAATACCGCTTATAACCTGGTTAATACCATTGATTGGTCATATGGGTATCGCCACATCACGTGGCATAATACGTGATTTTGCCGGCCCTTATTTTGTCGCCGAAGGTAATATGGCATTCGGAAATCCAACTAAATATTGGCAATTAGATCCAAATCTAGCCGAAAATGGTACAAATGGCTGGGATGAAGGTGTTGACAAAGCATCCAAAATTTATTGCAAAAGAATGGTAAAAATACAATTTTTTTTAGATTAAATTTCTCTAATTTTTAAACTGATTCGTAGCATTATCTTTGTTGGGACAATTGTCATTCACATGTCGGAACAGCATTGAATTTGATGAGTTATAATGGTGAATCGAATCATAATATGGTCAAAACGTTTTTCTGTTTTACTTATAATTGTAAATATATAAGGTAAGAATTATTATTATAAATTCAATTAATTTTTTAATTAAAAAAAAAATATTCTTTTGGAAAAAATTTAAATTAGTTTTTATGCTTTTCTCAAAACCTGGTTACCGTTCTTTATTATGATGGCAATTATCGTTTCATTGTCACTGTTTTCAAATATGGCACATAAATAAACTATACATTGGCCTTATCCATTTTTGATTGATGTGATTTTTTGGAATCGATTCGAACAATATTCATTGGTTAATTCAACAATCTCTTATTTTCTTTGATAATTGTTATTCGTCCATTTTTTTCAATGTTTTTATTTAATTTATACTAACAACCGACAACAAGTTTTTCCGAATTAAGCGACCAAATGAAAAACAAAAACAAGAAGACAATTTTTCCGTCAATTTATAACAGAATATTAATATCATAATCATTTTTGCATAAATATTTGTGAAGATTTTTACTTTTTTTTGTAAATAAACTAATAAACATTCAAAATATATTGAAATTTATAAAATTTGCATTAGATTTGATATGTTACAATGATGGATCGAATCATGATTTGATTTTCAATGATGTGTGTCCATTTCCGTTAACGTTTCAGGTTTTTTCATTCATTCTTCAATATTTTTAACTGGAAATGATAATAATGATTTGTCCGAATTTTTTTTGTCGTTTACGGAATTTCTTTTTTTTCTCATTCTTACAAAATGAAAAATTGAATAAATGTACCAACCGACAGTTATAGATGAAAGTTTTGTTCAAAACGTATATTCAAATTTTTCATTTATAATGCTTTTTTTTGTTTTGTTTACAAACAAATTGTTAGCATTGATAAATTATTATTATTTTTAAAAGCAAGTTTAAAAATAAAATTCACTGGAAAAAAACCAATTCCCAAATGAGAATGGTTAATATAAATATATGAATTATGATGATGTTGATGGTCAATACTGATGTTTTTTTCCTGCGTATCTGTTCATGGTTGTTTGAATGTTTTTTAGCCATTGATTTATCAATAAGTTCTGCTATTGACATATTGAGATGTTTGAAATGAATTAGTTCTCTATTTTGTTTTTACGGTAACAATATAAAACAGAATGAAAAATTGCCAAGAAAAAAAAATACAGATGAAAAACAAACAACCCAACGTAAAAATCTTTTGATGATGATGATGATGATAATGTAACACTCGGTCATCGGAAATCATTTATCATTATATTTTCTCATTGAAGTATCATTCAATCAACATTCAATTTTCATTTTTCATTTTTCTCTTTCTCTTTTTTTGATAACATTTAAATGACATCTATGATCATTGTAAATTTGTTTGCCAAAAATATTTTGTTGTTGTTGTTATCATTGTCATTATCATTGTCTTTGAATTTAGTAATTTAAACATTAAAATCATCAACAACAACAAACATTTCATTCATATTGTGGTGATTGATTTGAAGCGAGAGAAAGAAAATTTCAAAAAAAAAAATGATATGCAGTGGAGCCAACATTTCATTTCATTTTTCATTTGGTCTGTTTTTATATGAATAAATGAATTCCTTTTTTTTGTCATTCAGTTTCTGAAGAAAAAGAATTTCAAATAATCATTTTTCTTTCATAAATTCTAGATTTGGTATGATAATCAATGTTTAGTTTCATTTGATATCGTTGGTTTGGTTTGTATAGAAAAAGAAGCAAACATTTTTTTGGTTATTCATTTCGTTTTTGCATCCATTTTTTGTTTTTTGTTTTGTTTCTCTTGATGATAATGTTGATAGAAATGAATTAAAAATTTCATCTGAAGTTATTTTTCTTTCATTTTATTCTGACAATAATGACATTACGTTGTTGTTGTTATAGAAACATTAAAATTTTTTTTGAACCATGGTGTTGATATTAATTTTTGTTACTGGAAAAAAAATCGGCCAGAAAAAAAACAACAACAACAACGATGGTAAACAACAAGAATAAAAAAAACAAACCGAAAAGAATAAAATTGTAAAATGTCATAATTTTTTTTTGTCTGATGTTTTTATTTTATTTGAACATTTTGTTTTAAAGCTGTACAAATTCCATGCCAAAAACATGGACAATAAAAATGAATTTTTAACATAATTTAATGATTCATTCATTCATTCATTCATTTAGTTTTTTGTTTTTAAACATTGAATTTAGAAAAGAAATCTAAGAATTTTTTTTTACTCTCATCTTAACCAATGGATTGTTGAGCTTTGTTTTTGTTTAAAAAAAATAAGAGAATGGGAAGGGTAAAGAAAGAAAAGAAAAATGTTATTCATTTACAACAACAAGGGAAAAAAATAACTGAACAATTCAAAATAATTTCATTTGTCAACATCCGGAATATTTTAAACTAAAAATTCATGTTGATAAATTCGGATGAAAGTTGAAGAAAAAATCTATTTGAGCGTGGTCGTTGCTGTTGTTGTCTTCATGAGACAAAAAAAAAGAGGTAAACGGGAAAATCATCATCATCGTTGACATTGCCATTGCCATCAAACAACAGATTTGAAAATGTTTTTTTCCCCACTACAATATTCGTTCCAAGTTTTTCACCCTAATGCGATTTTTTTGTCGATGTTTTTCGTTTTGTTTTGTTTATTTTTTCTTCTTTCCGTTTTCGTGTATATTTCAAATGTCTAAAATAAAAGAAATTAAAATCATATTAGCAAAAGACAAACAAAAATCTGCATTGAATAGTTTACCAACCTTTCATGATATATACAAATCACTATTAGCCAAAATATTTAAATAAAAAAACGTTACGTCGATGATAATTTGAAGCTCATACCATGTTAGGTAATGTGTAAAAATAACGAAACAAAAAAACAAAACAAAAAACTGTAAACGAATTGAAAAATAATGTTCGAATAATGATGATGAATGAGCCTAAATATTCAATGTTGATGATGATGATGACAATGACAATTATGATCAAGTAGAGTTTAAGTTGATTCAAATCAAATCCAGAAGATAAAAAATGAATGATTATCATTATTTTTGGTGATAATAGATGTAGAGTTTTTGCTTCGTTTTTTCTTTGTGTGTTTTGTTTATCTCAAAATCGATTGATAGATGAAAAGAGAGAGTGAGAGAAAGATGAAATATTCGATTTTGATTTCAATTCTTATTTGAATATTCAAAACAAATTTGACCAAATATTGTGGCTGATACCAATCTATCTTTCTCAATCATGAAGATTTGCCTGTATAACTTTATCCTGATCGATCGGTTGAAAGATATGTGGTGCATCCAATAATATGGCAATCGTACCGAATGATGTAATACCAAAAAATAGATATAATTGTAAACGATCTATCACCATGGCTACATATTTCCAATCTTCACGAATCTAGAATTTTTTTTTGTTCATGATGAAAAAAAAGGAATTCAACAAAAAAAATGAATAGAATTAGAAAAAAATATACTGTAAGAATAAAAATGATGATAAACACAAAGATGTTGAATTTTCAACAACAACAACAAAAAAAATTCAATATTTAAACAATGAATTTTTCATTAGCAAAAAAAAATTATGAAAAAAAACCTAGTTTAAAAGGTATGAAAATTTCAATGATTCAAATTAATATATTCAGGCGGCTGTATTGGGAATTGAAAACAAAAATCATAAAATCAAATCAAATGAAAATTAAATTTTCATCATCATCATCAATCCCCAGTAGTGATAGTCATTATCAATTGATCAATTTTGATTTGAAAATTGAATTTTTTTTCAAACTTTTCTTGACGAAACAAAACAAAAAACAAATTCTCCATTATTTACATAGACATCAAACGAATTTTTCTTTTCTTCTTCAGTGTTTTTTTTTTTATTTGGAACAATAAACTGAAATTTGAGTGTGAAAAATTTTCAACTACAAAGAAAAATTTCATCTGTCATTACGATGGAATTCTACCATCATTCTATCATCAACAAGCAACAGGGGAAAAAATACTGGTTGGAATCAAATTTCTTCAATCTTTAAAATTCATTCATTATTATTTTTGATTGTTTTTGTGTGTATAATTCACTATTTTTCGACATTTTTTCAGATATATTTGGCTAAACAAGATTCTCAGATTGATTTTGTTAAGAAAACTATTCTGAACTGATTCAAAGCAACGATGATGATGATGATGAAAATTTTGATTTTATTCATTTTATCCTAATTTCGTTTCGAAAATAAATGAATAATAAGAAAAACATATTGACAACAAGAATTCATAGGATTTATTTATTTTCTTTTTGGATGTTGACAAAATCATTCATAAAGATCTGTTTTTTTTCTTCTTCTTCTTCTTCTTCAAGAATGATTTAGTGTGATAGTCATTGTTCCATGTCTTTAACAGACTAAGAGAAGAAGGAGAAAAAAATATATATTTTTTTTGGACAATTTTTCTATTTCCAAGTGAATCAAAAAGAATTATTGTTTACATAAAAGTTTGATCCAACAACCAAACAAACGAAAGAAAAAAAAAGAAAAATGAAACAAAAATCAGTCAATGTTTTTCTTTCTATGAATGAATACCAATTTTTTTTTCTTTCCTCATTTCATTCTTAGTATTTATATTTTTGCAACGAGTATGTATCAACGATGTGTTTCGGTTATAAAAGAATCAATCAGAATATATTAAATGAATGAAGATTGGAATGTGTAAAAATACATCTGCTTAAATATTTAGTTCTTTCTTTCTTTTTTTCCCCTTGATTTCTTTTTTTTTCCAGAAAAATTCTTTATATATTCACCATGACCATGGAAACAAAAATGAATCGAATCTTTATTTGTTTGTTTGTTTGCTTTGAAATTCTTATCAAAATAATAATAATAATAATAATGATAATATGACAAATTCCGGCAATGTAACTGAACAAACTGAATAAATTCCTTTACAATAATTTTGATTTCAAAAAAATAAAAAAAAAGAAAACGCAAACAATCCAATAACGATGATAATATTGAGAGATATGGCGACGTAAACAAGAATTCATAAGAAAATTTTGTTGCAACATTTCTATGAATTTCTTCGATTTATGTATGAGATTTTAAAGAAAATCAATAAGTTCATTTCGACAATAGAATTACCCTTTGAAAATAATTTCCATCTGATATATTTAGAATGAATTCTATTTAATTTCATTCATAATCAACGAGAAAATGAATTGTCAAAGATTAAAACTATTGTGATGTATACAGTAAGACATGTAAATAACAAACAAACAACAACAAAAAAGTTTGATTCGATGAATACTAAGCATATTTTTGTTTATTGTTTGATTGATAAAAGAATCAAAAATGAAGAAAGAAAGAAAAAAGAGAGACCAAATATAAGAATGAAAAACAAACATCGATAAAGATTGTGTGTGTGTATCGACTAGAAAAACAAGAAGAAAAATTCAAATAAAAACAACAGCAACAACAACAAAGAAAGACAAAGTCAACTTTGTCACCAAACAAACCGAATAAATGAATGAATGAATAAATGAAAGAAAACAAGTGATAGGAAAAATAGAAAAAAAAACGGGAATATTCTGACAATCAAACCAAACGAATGGAAATACGCAAAGTCGTCGAACATAGTCAACAACAACAACGACGACGACGACGAATTGAATCACTTTGATTATTCGACTTTTTTTCATTATTTGTCTCCATCAAATTCGTTTTATTTTATCGAAATAATTTTTTTTCGTAATGTTTGAAATGAAGTAGAAAAACAAACAGGCTAACGAACACACACACACACACACACACAAAACACATAGAATAATGATGATGATGACAATGACAATATTGAATGAATTGAAGAATAAAAAAATCCGAAACGAATTGGCCTATGTATATGAAGAAATTGTGCTGAAATCTTGGAATGTTCTGTGTACCCAACTATATATCATCCGTTTGTTTGTTTGTTTGTTTGTCATTGTGAAACTTTTTTTGTTTGTTTGTTTGTTTGTGTATTTAATTTTGAATATATTCTGGCCATGTCAATTGTTGTTGTTGTTGATGATGATGATGATGTTGAAACACATTTTATGGAATTGAATTTTTTTCAACTTTTTTCATTCATTCATTCATTCATCGAAAACATGTCATTCATTCAATGAATTTTTCAATTTGAATTTATTCACACTCGAAATAATATTTTTTTTTTTTAATCAACCAAAAAAAAAGAAAAAGAAAAGAAGAAAATTCATTTGAATGACTTTAAAAAATGAGGCTGTATGTGAGAGAGAGAAAGAAAGAAAAGAAAAATTACCAAATCGATAATGATGGGTGACACATTACAAATCTTGATTGAAACGATTGATCGATTTATCAATCCAATCTTAGGGGCTATTTGAATGGATTTTTTTTCTTTTGCTATTTCTTTTTTTCACTTCAATCCATTTCCTTCAGGCTTAATATTGAAAAAAAAAGAAGCAAGAAGAAGAATAATGATAAGTAAGAGAGAGAGAGAAAAGTTTTTTCTCTTGCTATATTCAAGAATAAAAACGATGCCAATCACACACACACACATAATTTAAATTGCCGGCAATTCAGAATTCATATGTGTGTCTCAAATGCAAATCTAGGCTAAAATACCAACAACAACAACAACAAAAAACTCTAAATATATTCACAATGCATAATATACACACTTATTCGATGCACGAAACATTTCAATGCAAATATTGAAGCAAAAAAGAGACTTTCTAAGCTCATTGTTCCATATAATAATATTATTAAGAGAAAGAAAGAAAAAAAAATCAATTGAAATGAATTTTAAAATTTAGTTATCCAATTGTGAATGACTGAAGAGAAATTTGAAAGAAAAATGTATTTTTTTCACAGAAATACTTTTTTTTTTTTACTTTAATGATAAACGGCTTGCTTGATTGGTCTTTGGAAAAAAATAGATTGCCCACACACACACAGACAGAAAAAAAACACCAATCAAATAAGAATGAAACAGTGAATCTAAAGAAAGAATAAAACAGATATATTTGCTAAAATGAATTTCAATTTATTTATTTATTTTCCATTGAAAAAAATGGAATATCGTTGTTATTCAACATTGAACGTTTGATGATAATATTATCATCAAAATCGATGATGACGATCATCATCATGATCATTATGATGATCGTTTTTTGGTTATTTATTGAAATGTCCTCTCTCTCTCTCTCTCTCTCTCTCTCTCTCTCTCTCTTAGATGATGGTATTTCAAAAATTTTGTTGTTGTTGTTGTTCCCCTTTTTTCCAATCATAAATAATAATGATAATAACATCATCACCACAATGATTTCCAGAACTAGAAACAAAACAAAAAAAACGAATCCAAGAGAAAAATTTTTCCTTTTATTGGCTCAATTGAAGATCTATGCAAACATACACACTCATGGAATGAAATTGAATTAAAGTTTCACTGTTTAGTTTCTCAACAACAACAACAAAAAATTCTCCTGAAGGGTTCAAATTATACTCAAAACATTCGATATATATAAACAACATAGGCAATGGATAAATTTTAAATTCGTGAATATCGTGTTTCAACAAAAAAAAAAAAAAAAAAATCAATGCGACCCTTTTTTTCAACGAAAAAAAACTAACATGAAAACCAACTTTTTTTTTTATATTATGACTTTCGAAT